CCCCTGCCTCAGCCTCCCAAGTAGCTGGGACTATAGCTGCACGCCATCATGCCCTGCTAATTTTTTTATTTTTACTAGAGACGGGGTTTCACTTTGTTAGCCAGGATGGTCTCAATCTCCTGACCTCATGATCTGCCTGCCTTGAATTCCCAAAGTGCTGGGATTACAGGCGTGAGCCACCATACCCAGCCTTGTTTTTTGTTTTGTTTTGTTTTGTTTTAAGACGGAGTCTTGCTCTGTCGCCCAGGCTGGAGTGCAGTGGCGCCATCTCGGCTCACTGCAAACTCCGCTTCCCGGGTTCACGTCATTCTCCTGCCTCACCCTCCCGAGTAGCCCAGCTAATTTTTTGTATTTCTAGTAGAGATGAGGTTTCACTGTGTTAGCAAGGATGCTCTCGATCTCCTGACCTCATGATCCGCCTGCCTCGGCCTCCCAAAGTGCTGGGATTAGAGGTGTGAGCCACCGCGCCTGGCCACAAATTTGTTTTTGAGACAGATCTTGCTCTGTTGCCAGGCTGGAGTGCAGTGGCACAATCTTGGCTCCCTGCAATTTCCACCTGCCGGGTTCAAGTGATCTCCAGCTAATTTGTATATTTTTAGTAGAGGCGGGGTTTCACCATGTTGGCCAGGCTGGTCTTGAACTCCTCACCTCAAGTGATCTGCCTGCCTCGGGCTCCCAAAGTGCTAGGATTACAGGTGTGAGCCACCGCACCCAGCCTATGGTTATTTGTTATAACAAGCCAAACTGATTTAGACAATGGTCAAATACTTTTTGACAAGGGTGCCAAGGGTGCCGAGATCATTCAATAGAGAAAGTATCCTCTTTCAACAAATAAGTGCCAGAAAACTGAATATCCATATTAAAAATATAAAAACTCAAAATGCATCAAAGGGCTGAACTTAAGAGTTAAAACTATACAAATTATAGGAAAAAGCAAGAAAATATTCATGCCACTGGATTTTGGCAATGATTCCTTATATATAAGACAAAAGCACAGGCCAAAAAAAGGAAAAAAACACAAAGATGACTTCTCAAAATTAGAAACTATGTATATCAAAGGGCACTTAAGAGAGTAAGAAGAATATCCACAGAAAGGGACAAAATATTGGCAAATCATATACAGGAAATCCTGATTTTGTTTCCCTTTATTGCACTTAGCAGATATTGTTTTTTACAAACTGAAGGTTGTGACAACCTTGTGTTGAGCAAGACTATTGGCACCATTTTTCCAACAGCATGCACTTGCTTCATGTTTCTGTGTCACATTTTGGTTATACTTGCAATCAATCAATCAATCAATCAACATTGTGTATGCTCTGACTGCTCTATTGACAAGCCATTCCCCAGTCTCTCTCTCTCTCCTCAGACCTTCCTATTCCCTGAGGCATTGACAATATTAAAATTAGGTCAGCTAATAACCCTACAGTGGCCTCTAGGTGTCCAAGTGAAAGGAAGACTTGCATGTCTCTCATTTCACATAAAACCCAGAAATGATTAAGTTTTGTGAAAAAGACATGTCGAAAGTCGAGCTAGGGCGAAAGTTGTGCTAGCTGGCCAAGTTGTGAATTAAAAGGAAAAATTCCTGAGGGACATTAAAAGTATTAGTCAAGTGAACACATAAATGATAAAAAAGCAAAACAGCTTTATTGCTGACATGGAGAAAGTTTGAGTACTCCAGATAGAAGATCAAACCAGCCACAACATTTCCTTAAGCCAAAGCCTAATCTAGACCAAGTCCCTCCCTCCTTCAATTCTGTGAAGTTGAGGGAGGAGAGGAAGCTACAGAAGAAAAGTTGAAAGCTAGCAGAGGTTGGTTCATGACATTTAAGGAAAGACGAAGCGCAAACTTTTATTTTAGGAATAGCAAGTGCTGATGCAGAAGCTGCAGCAAGTTATCCAGATCTAGCTAAGATCATTGACGAAGGCTGGCTATGCTCAATAACAAAAAGAATTTTTTTT